CATGACAAAAATAAAGTTCTTAGCATAGTATTGACTTAATTTGTTACCTATGGTACATCTTTCAAGTCAGAAAGCTTATTAAAAACTATTCTTGAAAGTAAACCAGTTTCTATACACAACAGAAGTATAAGACACATTTCATATTAATGATCTAGTGAACTGTCCCTTTACTGTGTTTCCAAAACATAATTTTCAATCATATGTGCCTCAAATATCTGGAAGAGCAGTCTAGTTTATTAGTAAGTGTAACAATATATGCACTTTAAAAAAAGCTTGGCAAAAGAGATACCATTTTATTGCCGTATACAGTGCTATTTCCATTGGAAAATGGACAAACAAATCCCAAATTAAACTAGCAGGAAAAAAAAAATCTCTAAGATTTAAAGACCATCAATGAACATATTTAAGTCAAAAAAAACCCCAAACAATGGCATGTTGTATATTTGAAATTTTATTGATGGGAATGTGTATATAACCATGGCATCTCACAAAAACAATTGATAACATTTCATTAAAAGCAGTTCCTTAAAAACATCTGCAATCATCTATAGCAAATACACTGAGTATTTAAATCCTTGTATCTCAAACAAAAATATTCCTCTAGAAACCTATTGTGTGTGGTTACTGAAAACCCGACATCAAACTTCACAATAAAAAAATTGCAGAAATACCTAAAAATGGGCACCTAAAATCAACAGGTATCTCATGCAGCTGTATTTCAGGAAGTGCTGATTATTCTCTCTCAGGAAAATAAATATTCCCATTTGGTCAAAAGGTGTCCCCCCAAAAAAAACAGAGGGGCATTTCCTGATGGCTAATTATCACCTAAAACTCAAATGAATGCAGATGTTTATTGTTTACATAAATCTTTTTAAAAAAATATGCTCTCCAGTCACAACATTCAATTTAATTCATAAATGTGGATATCTGAGGTGCTATGTTGCCTACATTCCACTTCCCTGGAAGATATACTAAAAGGAAACAAATCAACACAGTATATCTTAGCTGAACAGTTCGTTTTCTTTAAATCACTCTTCCTTTCCAAGGAACTTTTACACCTACTGACAAAGTTTGTAAAAAAATGCTGTACATCTTTTATTTATCTCTCATGTCTTCATTGCTTGGATCTGATCTGTTAAGAAATAGAAACAGATAGTCTTAACACAAGATGAATTCTTTCTGTATTTTCTTTTTGAAAACATAATCCAATATTGCCCTGGTTACAGAACTACCCGATAGATATTTTGCTGTAGTTACAAGAATGGGGGACAATGCAGTTGGAGTTGTTTTCAACTTGTTCTCTCATCCACTTCTGAAATTCCTCCACAGACAAGTTGCTTCCCCCAGATGTTGCTAATTAAACAGGAAGACTCTTCCACAGAAATAAATGTTGATATTTTTCAGGCTTGTAAGGTAACTTTGATGAGAGTAACGCCTGGAAGTTTACTTCATGAAGTATGCATTTCAATTTCCTTGTAGTCATTTCAGCTTCTATGTAACTGAACATGAACTAACTCCCCAACAGCAAAGGTTTTAAAGTTTGTTTTTTAATAACTCACATGAAAACATCTTTGCTCTCAGTAGCCACACTTCACCATACTGCTGCCTGACTGATACTTCTCAATTCACTTCAAACATTTCCTTAGTTAGTGCAAATGTATTGCATCCCCATAACAAAACGTGGAAATCAGCACAATTTCCCCCACTAATAGGAAAGATGATCTGGGTTTAGACTGTTGTGAAACAAGTTAGTTTTACCCTACTGATGATGTCTTGTTGCAGTAGTAATCCCGTTACCAAATGGGGAAATATGCAAACTCAGCCTTCACTAGTGGAAAAAAAGGCAAAACCTTCTGCCCCAAATCTGTGAACTACCTGTAATGGGTATGCAAAACATAACTAAGAAAAGCATGGCTGTTGAAGAGAACTGTGCATTCATTAGCCAGACGTCATTTCCTCCACTGAATTTTATGGCATCCACAAGCTGTGATTTAGGGACCACTATAACTTAAGAGCTGTTCCAAATATTTCCATCTAGTGGTCTAGGAATGAGGAGGAGAATCACAGTAAAAAGTTGTTCTTGAAATATTGAAGTCTTCATCCATTAAAAGTATAACTGACAAACTGCATGTGGTTAGGGCAACAGTACAGTTCAAACCAAACCCCTGTTAAGCTTTTAGGGACACTGAGCCGGGGAGCTAAAGGAAATTTTCAGATAAGGCCCATTCATGAAGACTTTCAGCTCAGAAAATTAAGAATTTTAACAATCCGTGAGAAGTGAATAGCTATGAAGAGCTATGCAAGTGAGTGACAGCAGAAGCACCTGCTTACTGTGCTTAAAAATCTATACATACAACTTAAATACTTGAGAATAATATGTCAGAAAATATTTAGACAAGTATTTGAGATCCTTTGAAGTAGCTTGAAGCTATGTACAAAACCATCAACTCAAAATTTGGATTGAAACTTAGAAGTTTCCTCAAAGATAAGCAGAGATGCTGAAAATCACTGGAAAATATTACAAAACCAGAACTATGCCTGAAGATAGGAAGAAGTATGCGATTTGGAATCTGCCTCTATGATACTAGCATACAGGAGTGAAGGAAACTCAGTAGTAAGATGCTGGTTCCCCACCACAGAACTCTTTTAGATGGTGCAGTATGCATCACTGTTCTGTAGGGCAGTAAATCTCTTTGAAAAGACTATTTCGGCTGGTATCCCTTCCTCTGAAAACATGACCAAATGTTTTGTATTCTGTAATAACACAGTAAAATAAACCATCTCTTTCTAATTAGCGGTAAGGATTCTAAGTAGAAAGGACAGTCTGGTATCCATAGACAAATGGAGATATCTTAAATCAGGGACAATGTTAGATATTATTTATCTGCATTTTGAAAGAACTTAGTTTAGCGGCCCTGACACCAGAGCATTGCTGACATCTAGCGGCTCCCTGAGCCCAGAACACGCCAGTACAGAGACACCATCTTGCAGGTTCACATTATACTATGCTACCTAATATACTCACAATGCAAGCAATGTAAATTAGAGAGCTAAAATTAGAATGAGTCTACCAAAACAATACCACACTTCACGATTCTACACATTTAGCTGTACATGGGAGGACAAGAGAGACCAGATCTTCACCAACATAGAGCAGAAGGCTATAATACAGCATCTATACCAAGTTTGTAATTAAAACTGTGTATGTAATGCACCATCTAAACTGGATCCGATATTTTCTATGTAGTTATAAGTGTGTATACTATGATCGTTATAATGTAAGCTGTTCTTATTTTGGCTCTAGATTAAAGAACTGGAGTTGAATAATCAAAACTAGTGTATTTGTCTGTGTACTTTGCTTATTTTTCTTGCCTGCTGATTCACCATTTCCTGATACATAAGATCAAGATATGTAAAACTGGGACATGACAGTAAGAATAAATTAAAGAAAAAACTGAACTACCATAATAATAAACTGAAGTTCAGGAGCACCTGGTATTATTATTATCTACAAGAATTACTGTTGCACTGTTTGCAAGAGTATGTTAATGCATTAACATTTCATAGCACACCCTTTTGTCAGAGAAACTGACATGATCTTTTTGTGTACGTTAAGGAGGTAAATGAAAAGCAAATATGAGATAGAGCATCAGTACTCACTGTGTAATTTGGTCTGATAGCAGAATTGGACAGAAAGAAAACAAAGGAAATAATAAAGAAAAAACACCTTACAAACCAAAAAAAGTTTAACAGAATGAAAATAGAGCAAGATAATTACATATGATATACCTTGGAGCCAATCCACACCTTCTTGTAATCCTTCTCCTTTAAGAGCATCACTGGCACTGAAACAAGCAAATCAAATTATTAAAACATTGTAAAAATACCAGGTTTAGTGGAGTGATCACTCTACTTGCAATTTACAGAATTGCAAAGTTGCATAAAGTACAGTTTACATAAGTTTTCTTCACATGGAGAAGACTGCTTCTCAAATGATATATTATAGAGTACCTTCCCAAGATGGAAACATCAGTTCAGTATGTGACATATTTTATTTCCAGTTAAGGCAGAGGAATAATTTTTTGAACATGAGGGGTTCTGAAAGAGCTCCTACGCAAGGCAGTCACATTGTTCTGTGGCACCTCCACTTAAATAACTCCTTCCTCAGGTAATGCTGTGAAAGATACGTCTACTAATCTACAAAAACTGCGATGAAGCAGGACCTTTCCTCCTTCCACACAGTTCCTATATACAGTGAGGATGCTGGAGTACTAGAGAAAGAAAGTATAGTGCATACACAGTTCATTGAAACAGCCACCCTAGGAGTGTCTGTTAATATATATTAATATTAAACTAAACTGAGAACAGTGTAAATCCACCCTTTGAATCACAGGGGTATAACTGTTTAAAGGTCCCTCATTCTGCAGCTTATGAAAACTAGCAGTGAATCTGGACTGTTACTGTGGTTAGCTATAAAATTATCTTCCAAGCAGTTTGGGAATTCACCGGTGTAACTCCTGAGACAAAAAGCAGTGCCCCCAAAACAACACTCAGGTAATCAAGTTTTACGTTAAAAGGCCTAAAATGAAAATTTCAGTTTTCATCAGCATTTAGCTGCTGGTTTCACTTTTACTTATAATATCTGAGGACTTTAAAAACCTTCTATTTATATGAAAGCTTACATCCTTCAGAAAGGAAGATTCTAACTCCTACAACTAAAAAAATCCTCAAATATCACATGGTACAATGAGAGTAAAGTGCCCCTCTGAATTCACACAAGAAGAGTTTACTAAGTGGCCTTTCAACAGTGGTTAAATCAGGTATCTGCAGAATGGAAAAACAGAACTCTCAAGGTTTTATTGTTGGTATTCTGAAACCTGTAGGACAAACTAGCAGAAGCACTCTGATAAGAATTCTACTCAATTTCACAGAAAAAAATAGCAGTAGCTATTCTGGTAAGAACACTGCTTTCTGATTTCACTGGAAGTGCTCCATTTCATTATTTGGGTAATAGTTCTATTCTGAAAATTTTCAAGACACAGTCTACATAAATGCATTGTGCCTTTCAAACAAGTTTCACAGCAAGTCACCACTGTTTCCACATGTGGCAGCATGGTACTATATCTGGCTGATCTAGTTTACGTTATATCTGAATGTACAGATTAATACCAATAAAAGGGTAGAAATAAAAGAGAAATTTACCAGATATGCCAGGGCTTGTCTTTGATGTTTTCTAATGACAATAACTGAGATACTTTCACAGATGATATGGCGTCCCTGAGGTCCATCTTGTTAGCAAAGAAGAGAATAGGCAATCGACGGTGCTTAATATCTAGGCATGAGCAGAAGGAGAACTATCATGACATTATTCAACACTTACTAATCTCTTCAAGTAATAAACTACAAACAAAGCATGAAGATATTTTGCTCACCTGTCACTGCAATTCTCTGAAGGTTGTATCCTACCAAGATGCACCCTGTTGGGTCACATGGCCTCTGATGCATGATTCAAGAATACTCAAACTTTCTGGCAGGCTTTGGGATCTTCCAACACCTCTACCTCTAACCTTATACATATTTTTAAAGCTGTAGATATACATTGCTGGTGAAGCTGAGGAACAGGAGATCAAACAACTGCCTACAAATACCAAACATTTCTGCTTACTTAAGACTGGATGTGTAAAACACAGAAAAAGTATTTGTGTTAATTCACGTCCCCATAACAGCAGTTGCATAAGGGTAGTCTGAATTATCCTTTAGTCACCCTGGAGAGTGTTCATGACTTCATAAAATTCATAAAATAGAAAAAAAAAAGCACACATCTGGACATCCCTCACTGTGCCTTCACTTGAACAAAGATTTTCAGGAGCTCTTCTCAGCTAGCAGTGCTAACTACAAACAAAACCAAGTACACTGGAAATTTCTGGCATACTTTCACATGCAAAAGCATAAGCCTCTTTGACTACCATAAAAGATCAGAGAATCATTGGGAAAGAAAGTACACTCTCTTCAACCCGACAGATGTAGAACTGCAGAAAAATCATGAACACTACTTTAAGAATTTTTCACATTATTTAAACAAAAGATGTATTACGGGATTAGGCTCCAATCTAGGCTCCAATCTCTATCCATCAATTCCTGATAGGAAAAGAACTTACAAACTCCCCTAGAATGAAAATTGCTATACAGATTCTTTTTAAAATAGTAAAAAGAAAATGTTATTTCACACAGGAAACAAGCTAAGGATTTATTCAAATATAAGATAGCTGCCCCTGGTAGGGGGTGAAACAAAACAAACCCCAAAACTGTCAGTGCTGAAGTGGTTCAAACCTTTTTAGTGATGTTCTTTTTAAATCCTCTATGGAACCTTCCACAAAATCTGTGGAGATAACACTCTGAGCTCATGAGTGCTAACCAAAATGCTTACAATTGTCACAGTGATTTACCCTTTCTGGAGCTGTGTTTTCCTCTGACATCTTCAAAGGCCTCAAAATGTAAGTGAAGAATGTCATTAAAACTCTTTCTCAGTTCCATAGGTGAATAGCTTTTTTGTCTCCTGACTGAAATTTCTATGCTAATCTACAGTATAATTCAGTGAACCCTGGTACCCACAGGTTGCAGGTTATGAATACATTAAAACTACAAAAATTAGTTGACATCACATATGCAAAGAGCCATGTTAATCAAGGAATTTTCAGTGTTTTTCTAAAGCAATTAAAAAGGGGCACAACCTACCTGCATACTCAGAAATGTACACTTAAAGATGTTTGCTAAATAAGCTGACGGTTGCAGATATTTAGATTATTTCCTAGCTTATGACATTATTTATTTCCCTCCACCCCATTTCTAATGGTTATTAATGGAAAGCTAACATTTTCTAGTTGCAAATAGTTATAACACATTAAAAAAAAAAAACCAGACACTAGAGATGGATGTTGTGTAATTTTATATAAATAATTTAAAATTTATAGAAATTTCATTTTATTTTAGAAGCATGTGCTAGAGGTCAAGTGACCCAAGAGTCTATATTCTAAACAAGTAATCTACAGACTATGATCTTGCAAAGTGCTGAAGAATGAAGTTTGATAAAAAATAGTATGATAACAGCAATCATTAAACAGGCCTTTACTTGCAGAGTGCCCTGTCCACTTACATAAGTAAAAATAATTTATAGCTCTGATTCACAAAACAGTCACAGCTAGTACAATTTCTAACCCCGTTAATGCTTCATATTACATATTCTCTTTCACCTGAAAACCTCAGGCAAAGTCTGGCAAAAAGAGAGGGAACTATTTTACTAAAGGATTGCTAAGATTTTCAGAGACAGGAATTGATTCAAAGTTGTTAGCCTGCATCCATTTAAACCTTCAGTAAACATGTAAATTTAAACCATTCCAGGAGATTCACAGAGGCAGAAGCATAGATGGGGAGAAAGTAAGGTATGCAGGAAGAAAAGTAGAAAAGTAATACAAATAAAAATATTGATATAGTAAAACAGTTATATACTGATTCAGTTAAAAGCTACTTTTATCAAACACTACTACTAGAACTTTTTCTTTTCTTTGGTTCTTAGATGTGACCTATCAAAATCCAAAATGATAGAACAGGAAATGCTGCATTTGAGCTAAGCTGCTCCAAGCAGAAATACAAAACTGCCCTTTTCTGATTCTACAGAATGTACTAGGTGGCCATACCCATGATCTTTCAGAACTAGAAGACACAAAACACACCAACAACTGAACAGCGCCCACCTGCTAAATCAGCATTAATAATCTATTAATGCCTAAATGAAAAGCTTCACCTAAGCTTGCATCTCCTCAGCCTTAACATTTTCACTCTTTTCCCTTCTAATAAACTAGTAACTTATTACAGGAGTCTTTACCTCCCACCCTTGGTCCTATGTGGTTTCCATTTTACCAAAAGAATCACCCTTTACCACTGTGGTTAATACCTGCCCTGGTACAAAGTTCCCTGGCCTCTATGGAATCCACCTCCAGCCTTTGGTTTACCTCATCCTCCCCTTTGACCTTTGCAAGACTTTTCAGTGTGCATTTGAAGTGGCCCATACCCTTGAACATGAAATTAGGGGGGCCTCATCAGCTCACACACAGCTACAGCATTTTTGCTGATGAACTAATGTATTATATGCAGTCTGCATGGAAAACAAACCCATAGTAGCATAATTGCTGCTATCACATACTACTTTTCTTCGTTAGAAATGCATGTCAGCTTCTCATTCTTTATTCTCAACATCGTAACCCCACAAGTTAAGGCTCTACCAGCTTAATACGAATTTACAGAATTATTTAACTTTTAAATTTCCTGCATGTAGTTTCATACTTTGGTTAGTCAGAGCAACTACCTAAAGTGTTGAAAGTCAAAGTCAAAATTGCATATTTCTTACAAAACATTCCAGTAATGTTGGCTATACAGAAGGGAAAGGAAGCAAAGAATGGACCAATCTCAGAACTTAATTAACGAAGCTTCCCCTCATGTTAAAAACCAAGACAAACAAACAAAAACCCTAAAAGCAACCCTCCAATCATGAATCCTCTCACATCCTCTTCCATCCCGTGTATCCTTTGATAGGCAATTGAAACTGACTGGTATAATTATCCATCCTTATTTCTGGCTAAACCATAATTTAAGAAAAAAAGGTAATGAAGATGAAAAAAAGAAATTAAAAGTTATGTTAAAGGAATGAGCTTTCTTCATTGAAAAATCCAGACAGGGAGATACTTTTTTCGTACATGTTTGTCATCACATACAGGCTCTCCAGCTTCTAAAGGGTCAAAGTCTATTATTCCTCAAACAACACAAATTTGATCTATATTATAAGAGACCAGTCCAAATCATTATAGATAGCTTAAGTATGATCAGTTTGTAAATGTGAATAGGTATAAAAAACCACCAGACTTATTGAAGACTATTATTGTTCTAGTATTCATGAATGGCTAAAATATTTGTAAAGTACTCAAAATGCAGAATGTGTAAGATAAGAATGGCTTTTCTTAGAACAACATAACAAATACGGAGACAGAAGGGGAAAAAAGCCTCCTCACCTGGATGATTCAGAAGGGTGTCAAGTTCTTCTTTGGCCACAACCATTCTTAATTTGTCACTGCTATCTATGACAAAAATAATGGCTTGGCCTTCTCTGCATAACATAAAAAGAGTAAAGAGGCAAATTATAGGTTCTCTTAAACTGTGATTAAGAAAAGGCTTCAGAAGAAACACCAAAAAAAGCAAACAAACCTGATCTTTTTTCCCTTTAATTTTGTTGTTGCTATTTACCATTAACATTTGAATCCAGTCTTATTTCTGAAATGCAACCTTTTGGTAACTTGCATAATTTTTTTGAGACATGAGGTTGCTAGCTGTGTGACTCATGCAAGGTTCAGTCTACGCAGACCCTTCAGAAAAGCTTGATTTCATGACTGAGGCTGAAAAATGAACTCTGAAAATGTAACCTACAGCTATTCTGACAGTGTAGTCAGACAGACAAAGAAAATCTCATGATGGGTTTTTGTAGAAATTCTTTATTTCCTACACTAAAACAAGTTTATTTAAAGAAAGGCCAACTACCTTTTTAGAAAAAATACTGTGCATCTACAGCTGTTTAACCACTAGGCATATGCAGATTAATCTACTGTTTACAAAAGTCTGCATAAACAGGATCATTCTTTTGTTTTCAATAACAGGTAAAAACTTTCAACTATTTTAGATCATTAACACATTTTGCTGGCAACATGACCACAGTCACAATGTATATACATGCTATTCAATCCATTATTTCAGAATATTACTGATATTTTATGACTTGATGTTCCATTTATTGTAACTTATTTGAAAGCAAAATAAAGTCTGACTAATTCAGATGAACACCCACTAAAATTATTTTTCATTTACATTTTAATGTAATATTTGTTTCTCCTTCGTTTTACATTTCTTTGAGAGACCATTACAGATACATTCTCCACTCCCTAGTACAACCTACCTTCATAGTTTGACAAGAAACACTCCTAGACCTACTGAAAAACAGAAATAGCTTGACCAGCCTAAGATTGTATGAGAAGGTCCCTTCTTTTCTGGAGTATGGAAGAACTTTAACAGCAAATAAAACCTTTCCTTATCAGCTGAGAAAGCTTAAGTATTTTTTTATGAGCATACAGTACTCTTTCCAGAGGAATCTGAGTCCTAGCATGTATTTATTACCTAAAAACAACTTCACAAACAAGTAATAGTAATAGGGACATAACATGAGCTTGCATATATTTAAGACAAGTGTACTTTGAGGACATCCTAGAAGATAGTTTCAAGCCAAACAAGAAAAGGGCGAGCTTCAAGGACTCCGAAGCAACCACTTAAGACAAAGATACTTGATCAAATTTGATTGCCATTTTGCAATTCTTGCAAACTTAAATCTTGCTTATCTTTATAAACTGAATGGTATATTATTATTTTTATATTATTCTTAGAAGTTAATCTTAAATATGTGCCTACTCCACCGGATCAGGAACAAAGGTGGATACATGTGCACAGTTCCTTGTCAGAATCACCCAAGAAACTCCCTTACTGTCAAGATGAAAAAAGCATTTTATGCCACACGAGGGATAAGTTACTGTATTAAATACAGCAGTCAAAAATTATATCCTTATGAAGCACTTAGCTAGCATTTTGAGAGCAGCCTAAATTTACTGAAATCCAAAAGTTTTGGGAGACATACATCTAACACTCCTGAAAAAGGAAGATCTCCTACCCACACAAGTTTTCAAATTGCTACCCCATTTTGCACAGAAGGGAGATGAAGTGTTAACCCTCAATTAAAAAACACTTAAAGCTCTATCACATTAAATATTAATATTTAATCAATATTATAATAGTCAAAATTTCTCCATACTACTTCTCCAAGCTATTTCTGTGTGATTTACTGCTGTTCACCTTATTTAGATCAGCATCAGGTATTACAGAATAATGAGACAACATAAATGAAGATTCACGCTTCATTAGAAGTTAGAAAAACAGAAAATGGTGCCTATTACCAATAAAGCAATACCATAAAGTACAGAGAATATCCTGCTTAATAAAAAACATCTAAGAATACTTGGTCAAATTCTTAGTTATGTGTGCCTCATTCTCCGAAGTTAATTTCCCTCACCTCTAAAAATCTTAGCCATCAGTATCTTTTGGGACTCAAGTCACTTACCTACAGAAGAACAGAAGAACAGGAAACTTAACTCATCTTGGTCCTTTCTTACAGGATTGTTTTTTTTCTGCTTTCAATATTTAAATCCCATCTCTAGTATGCTCCCCCAAACTTTGAGTCAACAAGGTGACCCCAAAAGCATGCTGATTAACAGCACATCAAAATTTTAATTTTTTAGAACACAAAGAAAATTTATCCAAGATGACCTTCTGTCAAACAGTAGGGGGAGGGCTTCTCTGAATCATTTCTAATCACTAGATACTATCATACTTCTGTTTAAATAATGCACACAACAGCTAATACAAACAGCAATGCTTTAAAATAAATTACAGGCTTACTTGTAGTAATGTTCCCAGAGGTTTCTGTATCTCCCTTGACCTGACATATCAAACACCGTGAAAGACAAACTGGAAAGAAAAGAAATGTATGAGACACAGAAACAAAGAACAAAACCCAAACCCTAACTATTTGATTTGCTACAGAAAAAAGCCAGATCAACTTGAATCCTAATCAACCGAGAAAGATTTCCAAAGGAACTCTGGTCACTGTACCTGGCTTTAAACTATCCTACACAGTTCTGCAGTCTTATTACAGAAACCTTTCACAATGGAAAATGGGCTTATTTTTTATAATTGGTTTAGTTCTTCAGAGAATAAGTTACATCACATACCAAATAAGCTCCCATTCAGCCTCTTTTTTTATCATGTTAGTATCGAACATTGTTTATAGTGTTGAGTAAATGAAATTCAGATGAGCTATGACTTAAAATCCATAGCCGCTCTTAAATTCTGTCCCTAGACAGGCACCAATAGCATCCAAATGCTTCTGTATGCAAAATAAAAGGCTTAAAAAAAAAAAATTCCACCTTCATAAAAAAAAAAAAAAAAATCACATTCTGATAACAACAGGTTACCTCAGGTGAACAAGGGTAGTCTTTGCAACTTCAAGATTTTACCAAATGCTAAACACAGTAAGCCAACTTAAAAAACATTACAAAAAACCCGATCCACTCCTGAAATACCTACAGAAGCAACACTGAATTCAGTATTAGGTTTTCCTGATATGGGTAGTCCCAAATAGCTCCTAGAGTGCAAGACATACCAAAATGAGGAGGTTTAGAAAAGGAAGCTCTCTGTATCCAGACATCATATGAATCTAGACTAGTTGCTCTGCCATGTATGAATTTATTAGCAAACCCCAAACAACGTTTTGATTGTAATGGTAGATTAATGAGGTTTGGGGGGAGTGGTTTGTGGGTGGGTTTGTTGTGATTTTTTTAATCATTCTACATAATGTATTTGCAGGTCATCTCTCCTACTACAGAATCATAATAAAGGAAAGCAATATAAATCTATTTACATTCTCACACAGCCAAACCCCAAACCTGTCTTACATGCTTTACTGAAACAGAATACAGTTTTTTAGTATCCTATAAAAATATGAAACCAAACAATCCCACATGTCAGCTCAGGGAAAAAAAAAATTCTTGGAGATCTCTTATCCAGTGGGGCATGCTGCTTGGTTTGAAGACTGACTGCACCCATTAAAAATACACTGTGAAGGTTATAGAATAATATAATAGTATCTAGCATTACCTCCTTGAAGTGTCTTTGCCTCACAACATTCCTTTCCTAAATCTTAGCCTTGACTCAACCAATGATTTCTTATTCCTTTTCCTGACCTTTGCCCCTGACATCTTTACATTGCTATGGTTGTAGCCACTGTTTTTCATTTAATGAGATTAGACTACAATCTCCTCAGAGCCGCGCCAGTGAGAGTGCTTAATGGAATATAGGTTACCATCTAAGCAACTGTCTCTTCTCAAGTCTGTAACAGTGCCCTTTTCTAAAATTCTTAACAGACAGTGATCAGATGCTTATACACTATTGCAAAACTCTGGGGTTTTTTGTCTTGTTGGTTTTTTTTTTTTGTTTGTTTTTTTGTTTTTGTTTTTTTTTTTTTTTTACATACATACTTTTATAGCAGCACAAAATATACAATATATTCTAACACTGTTAGTCCTGGATCATGATTAGGACTCCTGGGTACCACAACATTTTAGCAAACCACATGTCATGTCATTATACCACCACACATTATACTCAGTTACATCCCACTGAAATAGATAATTAAGTACAACTACTGTGTATTAACTGCTACTGCTAAATGGAGAAAATGAAAGAAACTTCTACCTCGATGTCTTGAATTTCTCTATACTGAATCCTATTGTTGGAACGATGTCCTGACTTTGAGCCTTTAAAGGAATGAAAGTACAAATTTTTAAATGAAGTTAGAAAATGTAAATATTGAAATATATTTGAAACATGATCTATTTTTTCCCCAAATACAAAAGCCTTCTACAAATCCAGATACGTTATATTAAAAAAGTTGCCAGAAAAGTACAGTAGTTCAAAATCAAGGTTTAATGTTTTCTAGGAAATATAGTGAGCACTGTTGGACAAGAGCATTGACACTGAAGACATTTTAGCATTAAGAGTGAGATTCCACTCTTTACATTAGTTTGTGTGTATACATATGTATGGATATTACATATGAAATAAACAGGAGATAGTTTAACATGGAAGATAACAGCTTGAAGATTATGACTGAGATCAAAGTTCACAATCACTTTGGAAATCACAATGTCAACCCAAACAAGCCTGCATAATACCCCAAGCCTCTTAGATAAAAGAGAGTATACTTCTATCAAGATATTAGATCGGACATATTATGTCAACAGGCTGGAGGAGTCCATTTGGCATTGGGAATTATACAGTAGACATTACACAATGGCCTAACCATAGCTCTGTTCAAACTACCAGACCACTGGAAGGAATCACCATTTATCACAGAAGAATGGCTAAAACATAAAGTGTTATTAATAGATCTGTCTGATAAGAGACAGGTTTACTGCTGAGCTAGCCAAGAAACCTATCTGCTAAGTTGGTACAACAGAATAGCTCATTTAGGAAGCATTGATATTGAACAAGAAGAAAGGTCACATTCCGTAGACTGCAGAGGTGTTTGAGAAAGTGATATGCAATCCTTTCAGACTTTTGAGAGCCCCTTATTAAAAACACTATCTATAAGCAGTTGACTCCTTGCATAGAACTGAAGCAAGCTTCGTTTGTTCACCTGCAGCTTCATTATGGAAGTGCATTCCACCATCATAAACCATTTAGTCAACAGCTCCTGTCACCAAGGGGAAAACTGTGCAGAGTAGGAGAGGTGTTTTTTCTTTAACATTTCTTTCAACTGTATTTATTAGGCCCAGAAGAAAAAACTGCAAACAGATGGAGAAACAGTTGTATTCACCAGGCAATTAACATATTGGTCCTAGGGCAAAATAGCAGTCCTTCTTAAGAAGACTGGGTTGATCCAGAACTCAAAATCATCTGCCCATTGAACTTACTAAAAATAATCAATTTAATCAAGTCTGATTTAATGTCATTGCACATTAGAGAATTTGTCGCGTCTTGCAAGGATAGGACTTATACAAGTTGTATGGAAAGCTACTCTCCTGAAGCATCACATGAAATCAAAACATTCAGAAGTAAATTCTCATTACACCATTTACAGTAAAGCAATCTTCTCTAATACCTATTTCTGTGAAAAATCTTGAAGTCTGCATTCAACTCTAGTTAGGAATCCTATAATGCTTGAGGCATGACATAAACCCCTCCTACAATAAAGGTCTCAAAAATTACATAAATATTTAATTTGCCTGGTACAAATTGTAGCATTTCCCTCAAACAACAGTCAGCAGATAGTAAGCAGTTTATAGACTTTGTTTATAAATCTATTTAATTTTCAGTGGAAGAATAATTGCCAGGAATGGAAGAGTAGCAGACTCTTTTACCATGTCACATTTTTAAAACAATGTTCAGTGGTATTCTTCAGGAAAAGTTCAATGGAAATTAAAAAAAAACCCCAAAAATTAAAAAACAGAAATCAAGGTTTCCCAGATGCAGATAACCAAGATGCACAAGCCTTTGGCTTTGAACATGCCTACCAAAATTTATCTATTTCTATTCCATAAACATACCTTGAAACATGGTAATCCTACTTTAAATTTTGCTCAGAATACTATGCACTCTTAGTGGCCTGTAACACTTTTCACTGGATGAATGAACTGTAAGTATAAATGCTACTTATTTTGAAAGCTATTCTGCTTTAAAAATGCTGGTCACCATTAAGTGTGCATCTTCATGTTATTTCCTATTTTATTATTTAATTATATACTTATTATTTCGCAGTAAGAGATTAAAAGAAACATAAGAAATGCAGACAAGTACAAGCTGTTACACAACTGTATTAATCCCAAATGTTCAACGCATCACACAGAACTGCAATCCTGTAGCAATTATTTAAAGTTACTTAAGAAAACCATTTTGGATCCAAATTTTGGCCATCATAAACCCCTCCTTATTAGGCGATCTTAGAAAAAAAATGTGCCACATTAACAGTGTTTTTTTTGGGAAAACTTTTCATAATATGCACGTGGATGCATACATGTAGTTTTAGTGAGTTGGAAACTCTTCAAATATATTTGTTCCACTGCACTAAACCAAAAAAGCTCTTCACATCTTTTCCATGGTCACATTTAGTATAACATCACACAAAAACAGTTTAAACAAACATCAGCTTTGCAGTAAAAACACCAAAAGTAAACTAAGTAGGCTACTTACATTTGAAGGTTTAAGTTTATTTATGATCGTTGTTTTGCCACTATTGTCCAAACCAAGGCACAAAACATGAACCTCCTTTTTCTTCAGCCCAAGCCATCCCGCCAGCTTGTCAAACAATCCCATAATTCTGGCTCAAATACACAGGGATCACCTGTTGTTCAGAAAATCAGAGAAGGAAATAGCTGTTGGAAAACTGTTACATATACAGCAGCGCTAGCACAGTAGGTGGGCATGTGGCTAAGCAGTCCTTAAACTTTTAAAAGGATAGCATGAACAAGAGACTATATGAACAGTCACAGCAGGTTTGCTTGGTACACTAAGTAAATGGAGTGTAAGCTGATTACAGCGAAGATACAAAAGTAGATTGGCTGTTTATATCCCTGTCTCTATAATGCAATGTCCTTGATTCACTGGGTAGCAATATTGCCATCATTCTGCGCAGTTCAAATAGAAGCACAACTGCAATACCTCCTTACCTTCCACCCAACTGGAAAAAAAAAAAAAAAAAAAAAGGAAGGCCATTACATTTTACTTCAACTTTGCAGTAGTTCAGTCAGTCGTGATAATTTAGACGAGAAAGCAAAACAGTATTTCCCTTCTTCAGCAACTGCTATGTAATTTACTGAACCCTTAAGTAAATAAAGTACCCTCTGTCAATTCAATTCAAACTCTAATTGTAACAGGCTTTGTCAATATTAACACATATAAATTAGGAACTCATTCACTACAAATAGAAACTGATTATAACAGATCCAACAGACAGGAAGCCAGACACCATAATTCACCCACACTTCAGGTAGATGCCAAACTCCTACTCCTGCCCAGACACTGACTGAAGTTACCTGGCAGTAGCATATTTGAAGGAGCTTACCTCATGTGTTCCCTTGCGGTAGCTGGCTGAACGTACTTTGCAAAGAGGACAACCCTTGTCTATCCTGAATGAACTCCACTAAGAATCATTTCAGCAAACAGACAGCTGAAATACTTGCGACACATTCAATAACAAAGCATTTAACTAATGCCAGAGGACTTCTGTGGAGTGGTTAAGGCCAGTTTTTCCCCTCAATAAAGGAAAAACACACAGCACTGACAACTCAGATTGTAATCTTAATTACCTCAGAAAATCATGGCAGGAGGAGGAAGAGGAAAAAAACAACACCAATGACAAATATTTGGTTTCCCTTCTGCACTAACTGATTACAAAATTATAATTAACTGCATTTTAATAGAAATAATTTAAAAATCTTTGAATTTAATAAAGTCACATAAGCTATCACTGTTGTTTACAGTATTATTTGTTTGGGTTGTTTTAAATTCAGATCCTTTTATAGCCAGTGCATTTTTATTCAAGACTTAGTAGTAAGTCTGCAGAGTGGCTATGTGTGTAACAGCTACATACAGTTGTCACCAGATTAAACAAGCCCAATATTAGTTATAGTAATTCCCTCAAAGAAAAAAAATCATGATTTTTCATCTAACTCCCTTCACTTTATGCCCCACTGCTTTTTTAATATACTTACAACTCTGAAAGCAGATTAAGGCTTACTGTTTATTACCAAATTAACCTGAGAAAACCCTGCTCCAAAACACATTATTTCATAGTCCAGTCAAAAGCCTTATCTACATATTTTAGACAATAAGGTTGAAAAAAATACCTTGCTGGTACTTCTGGAAAGAAGAAAATGCAAACACTTAAAAGATACTTCTATAGCTTCAGTTTTAAACCCAAATCCTAAGTACACATTCTTTGACAACAGTTCCTAGCAACATTTTAATTATAGACATTTTTTCTATCAGTTTTTTATAACAGCTGGCAAAGTCATTATTTAACAATATAATGTGGAAAAAATGTACCGCTGACTTCTTGTTCTTCCCCTTTTCTCCCATTCTTTTCCTCAGCTGTGAAGAGTCACAGCTGACACAGATTCCATTTTTTTTTTTTTTTGACAGATGACATCTAGTCTGCAATGCTATAGCATATATTAGACATGTCCTAAAATGATATAGGATAGAGTTTTGGTCCAAGAACTTGTTATCAAACTCCATAAACCTTTATCAAGAACTGTAAGCACGTCTGAAGTATCAGTGATTAACATTTGTTGTAACTAACCAGGCTGCAAAACTCTTGAAGACAAACCAGTCACATAAATCATTTACAGCAGCAGTGACCTGCAGCTCAGGAGCAGCGCCAGGCGAGCTCCACAGCTCTGCCCACACCCCCGAGAGATGCCCGGCCAGGCCCAGTCACCTCTCCCCAGCGGCTGCCGAGCAAGACATCACAACCCGCGTTATCAGCGTGCTAAACTGAAAGCGACAATCCATAGAGCGCTGCACACACCGTGTTTCTGAGGCCACCAGGGCAGAGGGCCTGCGGAGGACCCTTCCAAACTTAACGACACTGAAAAGTCCATTTAATTCCCGTGGATTCTTCAAATGTCAACGCTGAGACACCAAGGCTGCCCAAGCCGACCACAGAAGGCCCTGTCAGATCAGCATCATTTAAAACTCCAGCTATAGTTTTGCGCTTTTTTCTGCCCGACCCCCACCGCACTGGGTGCGAGCGGTAG